TCAGGTCTGGATCACCTTCTCCTGTGGGATGACGTGGAGATAGAAGACACTCGACTTCTACGTTGTTCTTCCTTTCCCAGGACCCTAGCCTGTCCCCTGCCTCTTTCCCCAGCCCACTTTTTCCTTAAGGGGCCTCTGGCATTGCCTCCAGAGTTCGTCAGGAGGAGAGACGGGGAGGACGAGTTCATGCCATAGTGTCTGGACCAGATGTGCTGTCAATAACTTCTGAATGAAAGAATTCAGTGAATGAATTGATAATGAGACCACCTTGAATACAATTTATCAACCTAAATATAGCCAGGCTCAAAAATTGGACATAAGTCACGAACTCTTAGAATTGGTGGGATCTTAGAGTCTGGTCCACCCTCCTTCATAAGGGAGACACTTTTGCAGAGAGGCCACCAACATGGGGACAGCCCACCGCCACCATGCCATGGGATCACAGGGCTTGCCCAACCAGTGGCTTCCTGGTTGCACTCTGAGCAGGGCCATTCAAGGAAGACTGTGGGTCCAACGCACTGAGCCAGGGAGAAGGAGGCAGCGCTGCCTGTTTTAATTTCAGTACCTAGTATATATTGGGACAACGTGCGAGCAATGGGAAAGATGAATGTGGATTGTGGATGAAAAGAACACTCATGGAAGCAAAGCACGTGGGCTTTTTGGATGTACGTTTCAACCCCTCCCAGATCAAAAAAGGAGGCAGAGACCTGCTGTCCGAAGCAGGAAGTGTTAGCAAATGCCAGCTGAGACACTGCCCTCTTGGCACCCGTGAGCCCAGCTGGCCTTCTGACCCTGCTCCTATTTTAAGCCTGTGACACAAAGTCCAGCTTTTGTTTTCTGCACCTGAAAGAATGCCTTCAGTCCAGACAGAGTCCTTATTGCAAGTGGCGGAGTTAATTTTAGAGCTGGGCATGCAGTTCGGAGGGATGACTCTGATGAACACACACCCACTTCCCTGCCCCAGGTCCTACCAGAGGGAAACTCGTTTCCCAGGCAGTCTGGAGCCAGCTGCCACTGCCAAGGATGACTCTTGGCTCCCCCACTACCTGTAACACCAGATCGTACCCATCTTGTCAGTGGAAGTGAGCCCCTCCCATTTCTGCCCGCACTGGCTTACTTTCTCTGGAAAGCACAAGGACATAGTCAGACCGTGGCAGTCCAACTCTGCCGTGCTCACAGCTGTGTCTTTAGGAAAATTACTCCTTTGGGTCTTAGTTTCCCAACCTACACAAGTGGGACTAATAGCTCGTGGTTATAAGGATTAAGTTAAAGGTTGTAGATAACAAAGAAGCCAGGGTTCTGGCAGCAGGTGGTGCTCAGTCAATTCTAGTCACTATTATTATATTATTAGTTTTTGTAATTATTATTAGTAGTAGTAGTAGTATTTTATTATTATTGGTATTCTCAGAGTTCTCAGAGCACTTTTATGTGTTGCTTCATCTGGTCTTAACAAGAATCTATGAGAGAGAGGTGATTGTCTCCACCCTATAAATGAAATCAGTGAGGCTCAGAATGATTGGTGAAGTGACACAGAGAAGTCCCAGGGGAGTTCAAGTCTGTTGGCACCAGTAACGGTGCCTGGGGGCGGCACAGCAGATAGAGCACTACCATGTAGGACAGCGGCCACAGGACCTGTGACAAGTAATCGGTCATCTGTGTACCGGCTCTTATTAAATACACACGACAACTGCAGGCTCTGGGTGCTATCAGTAACCCCATCTCTGGTGAGCAGACTAGACTTCAGAGAGATCCAGGAGGGTCCAGAGCCGGGAATGGAGGAGATGGGGTGTCCACTGGCCTACTGTCCCCGAGCATGCCCTCTTTATTGCAGCAAACCCTGAGAACAAGTGCACGTGATCCCCTGTCGGAGCAGCCAGTAGAATGGAGACAACCTGCTTTTTGTAGACTTCTTGAGATTTTCTATGTAGACAAGCACATTGTCTGCAACAGGAGAGTTTTATTTCTTCTTTTCCAATCGCTTTGACTTTGATTTCTTTTTCCTGCCTTATTACAGTGACTAGGACTTCCTGTGTCATGTGAATAAGAGTGGTGAGAGCAGACGTCCTTGCTTGTTTTAGAACTTAGAGTGGTGCCTTCAGCCTCCCACCACTAAATGCGACGTTTGGTATAGGCTGTAGTAGGTGATCTTTATGAGATTAAGGAATTTCCCCTCTATTCCTAGTGGGCTGAGAACTTTCCCCCCCCTCCCCCACTATTAATGGGTTGTTTAATTTCATCCAATGCTTTTTCTGTACCAAATGATATGATCAAATGATATTTCTTCTTTAGCCTGTTCATGTGTTAGACTACACTGATTTTCAAATATTAAATTAGTCTTGCATGATTGGCATAAGTTATTCTTGATCACAGTGGTTTTTTAAATATATATATATTTATATATATATATATACACGTATATATTTATTTTATATATATATATATCTGTATTTGAATAAATTTGGTTGGTGATTTTTGCATCTAAGTTCATGAGAGATATTGGTATGTAGCCTTTTTTTTTAAGTATCTTTGCTTGGTTTTGGTAGCAGAGTAATAATGGCATCACGGAAAGAATTGGGAAGGTGGCCTCTCCCGCTTTCTGGAAGAGACTGTGCACAACTGACATTAATTAGTCTTTGAATGTATGGTAAAATTTTCCATTGAAAATATCTGGCCCTGAAGATTCTTTTGGGGGGGAGCGTTTTAATTACAAATTTGATTTCTTTAACAGTCATAGAACCGAATAGATTATCTATCTGATCTCGGCCGAGTTTTGGTAGTTTGTGGTTTTGAGGAGTTGGCCTATTTCTTCTAAGTTGTCGACTTTATGAGAGCGAAGTTTTTTCTAGTATTTTCCTACTGTCTTTTTAATGGCTACAAAATTTGTTGTGGTATCTCCTGTTTTATTCCTGATATTGGTGATTTATGTTTTTTGTCTTTTCATCTCTGCCAATCTTGTTAAGGTAATTCATTTTACTGATCTTTTTTTTTTTTTTTTTTTGAGGAAACATCTTTCTGTTTCAATTACTTTTTCTACCATTTTTCAGTTTTCGATTTTATTGATTTCTGCTCTTTATTATTTCCTTTTGTATATTTGCTTTGAGTTTAATTTGCTCTTTCTTTAAAATTTCCTGAAATAGAAACTGAAGTAGTTATTTGAGCTATTTCTTCTTTATAATGACATAAATTTCCCTTTCAGCATTGCGTTAGCTGCATTTCATACATTTTAATACTTTTATTTTCATTTTCTTTTGCTCCACATATTTTTAAAATTTTATTTGAGACAGCCTCTTTGACTTAGGAATTATTAAGGAGTTTATTGTTTAGTTTGCAAGTGTTTGGAGATTTTCCTGCCGACCTTCGTTTTGATTTCTGGTCTAATTCCATAAGGTCAGACAGCACGCTCTGTACGATTTCAGTCCTCTCAAATCTGCTAAGGTTTACTTTGTAACCTAGGAGCTGGCCCGTCTCAGGGACTGTCCCATGAGCCCTTTAAAACAAGGTAGGGTCAGCTGTTGTTGGACGGAGCCTTACGGTGGTGGCGCTGTCGAGCGCTCTCTGTTTTCGCTGCTATTCCCTGTAGTTCTGAAAGTCCAAAGTGAGAGGGTGGAGCGGGAGCTTAAGCTCCCAGTCAGAGGTGTGGATATATCCAATTCTTCTTTCAGCATAGTTTTGGCTTCATACATTGTGAAACGCTATCGTTTGTTTCACAAGACGGCTCCGCCTTCTTGGCGGGTTAATCATTTTGTCGAGTAACTTCCCTCTTTGCCATTGGTTTACTCCGAATTCTGCTGGGCCTGAGGTTAACGTAGCTACTCGAGTTGAGTTTCCTTTCGAGTAACACTTGTGCGGTATATCGTTTTCTTTCTTTTGCTTTCAGGCTACACGTGTCATTGAATTTAAAGGGAGTGTCTTGTAAACAGCGTATAGTTGGATCATGTTTTTGAAACCGCTCTGCCAATCTCTACCTTTCAATTGGTGAATTAAGGCTATTTACATTTAAGGTAATTAATGATCTGTTAGGAATAAGTCTGACATTTTATCATTTGTTCCTTCTGTCTATTATTCTTCTATTTCCTTTTTATTGATTTCCTGTGGGTGGCAAACATTTTTTCAGAACTCTATTTTGATTTAATTGTGTTTTTCAGTATACCGTAGCTTCATATTCTTTTGTTAGTGAGCGTTATGGTCAAAGACTCTGTTGCTAGGTAACCTTTGGGAGTGGGGAAGAAGCTGGTGGGCCTGGAAGTCCTTATACCACTTGGCAGAGGCCGAGAAGACATAGGGCTCCACGGATGCTGTGGCTGCCCACTGCATCTCAGTTTGGACCAGGAGCCAGAACTGCCTGGGCTTTGCTGCTGCCGGTGGATTGAATTATCTGCAAGGGCCCCGGGTCACAGAGTGGGGGCTGGAGCTTCTCGCTGGGTCCCTGTTACGTTTTCCCTTGCCCAGACTTTGGCAGAGAGAGCAGAGTATTCTAGGGTTTGAGTGGGGTTTTTATTTGTTCGTTTGCAAGCTTCTCCTGTGCCCAGGTCAGGGTACACGGGAGACACAAAAACTCAGGAAACAACCAGTTGTTGTTGCTCAAGTCTCAAGGTTTCTTGCCAGTCTCCCTTCTTTTCCCCCACCTTTCAGATTTCTTTAATCACTGTCTGTTGGACAGTTTCCAGGGTGTGTAGTTTACAGAAACGGAGTAGGGAGAAGTGAGTGTACGGCCTCCCGTTCCAGAACCAGAAGCCAGGACAGTCTTTTTTTTTTTTTTTTTTAACGCTTCAGACATAGTTTCTTTCCTGGTTGATTTTCCGGAAAGCAGAAGAAAATACTATCAATGGTGCTTTCCATGATCCAAACCCCACCCTCATCCTCCTTGGAAGGGACCAACTGCGTTAGTCAATACTGCGGTTACCGTTCTTTGCGCCTGCTCTGCGTTCAGTCAATGGGATATCGGACTCCTTTTAAAACCTAAACAGGTTGTCACATCTTTCCTGGACCGAAAGTTCATGAGCAACGTAAATACTCGTCTGTAATACCGCAAAAGGGTTTCTTTGAGCTCTCACTGGTCCCTGCCCAGGGCCATGAATGAAGAGATTTTCCTTTGGCCCCGGGAGGCTGGCGACATCTACCTAGACATAGATGGCCATGGATTCTCTGGAGCGTTCTCATTTACAGATGCTTAGCTGTGCGAGTACAGACTTCTTACATCAGTGCTGAATCACTTGTTTTTCATCCTGGGCCCTTGAGGGACAATATGGGATGGGCCTTGTGCCCCGTGGCACACGGGAAAGTTCAGTATCAAAAGTTGCAGTTAATGTTTTAAATTTATCAGCAAAGACACAATAAGCAGAACACTGTGCCAAATGACAGAGCCCTGAGCCTCCTTAAAAAAAAAAAAATGCTATCTTCTGCAGCGTTTCCCTTACCTTGAATAACCAGAGTGGAGGGCGAAAAAATGGTCAATGTGTTCAATATCTTCTACCTGAAAGACACAGTTTAGAAAAAAGCAGACTGGGTTGAACATGATTTATGTCACTCCTTTTTTGGTGTCATATATTACCTCTTTTCAGGATTTTGAAAACTTCTATAAAATGAATGGATATTAAAGTATATAGCACAAATCGTGCACTTACGTGACTTTAGGCTTACATGAGTACAGTGATTCACATACTGTGGTAAATAATAGATACTCTTAAAATGGAATATTTATATCCTGAAGATGAAATTGAACGCTCACATGTGAAGCAACACATGTTCAAGTACATTTTATGGGTTTTTTTTTTTCTGAAATTGCTTTATCTCCACTGACTTTAATTTTTTTTTCAAAAGATACTGTTTTCTGGCACTCCATGAAAAGTTTATTGTTTTGAGTGCAAGGTTAAAAAGCAGCCAATAAATTAACATATTATATTTGACATGGGCACTGTTCACTCCAAATTTTCAAAAGACCCAGAGAAATCATGCACAGACAACCAACCAGCCGATTAAAACTATTTTGAAAGTTATTTTAAAATCTGTGTTGAAGCACATTTGATTCTTTTTTATTTGTGAAAGTGGGGCAATTTGAGTGATTTTAATTTACAACATGAATAGAAGACTCCCAGAATCAGCTATAACCTCAGCAGAAAACATAATTATATAACTTTGCTTAAAACCTCAGTTTCCTACAGACACGTGTGAAATGAGAACATATTCTAATCTCTTAAAATATCTACCTCTTCACTGAACAAGTGACAGAGGACAAAATGAGGATGTAATACACACATGGAAAAAAGTGGCAGCTCTTGCCTACCTTCGACAAACCTAACGTTAAAAGAGAAAATAACAATAATGAAGCTATCCTTTCACAAAGACAACCGCTTTTCCCCTTGTTTCTTTGAAGTGAACCTCCTTTTATTTTTTATTTTTGGAAACCTACAAACGAAGGCTTACTTGGAAACGAATGAATTTTGTGGTTTCCAGACTCAGAAGATAAACAAAGCAATTTCTCTTCCCTCCCCACCCCCACCGGGTAAATAGCCTGAGGCCACAGTCTGGGCTCCCTCTGCTCCCAGTCTGGGGTGGGGGGTTGGGAGTAGAGGAGGGGCTGGGAAGGCTAGTGAGGTGGGGTGGGGCAGGGGGTTGTTAACCACAGCACGCAGCCGGTAGAGAATGTCACATGCATGCCCGCACACACAAAACGTCCACAGTGGAACCAGGCAAGAAGATTGTTTAAAAAAAAAAAAAAAGAAGAGAAAGAAAGACAAAGTTCTGCTTCATCAGCTAAAAAACAGTGGTGTTCTTTGCTGGTTTGATGTCGGCTGGAAGCACTGGCTTGGAATTGCCCGCAGCGCTGCTGGGCCCCTGCCCACATGGCAGGCAGGCGGCTTTCTCTGCCAGCAACCGGCTTTTAATAACACAGGAGGCTGTCACTCCTAGGACTCCCCTGGGACTGCGTCCCAATCCCTATGCACTTCCTCCCCGAAAGCAGCTCAAAAGCAACTCACGGGGACCCTGTGCTGGCCTGCTTGGCCCAGGGTTTGGCGAGTGTTTGCAGGCATCCACCAGGTCCCTGGAGCTATCTGCTCCCTGCTCATCCCAGCGTGCATTCCAGCTTTTATGAAGGCTCGATGGTCAAACAGGATGGATTTTGAAATAAGGAGCTGGCTTTCGCAGAAGGATTAAGACATCTGGTCCCCAGCTCCCCACAGCAAACGTTAAGCAGTCATGCCAGGTCTGGATTTGGATAGGACTTCCCATCTCCAGTGTGATGAGTTTAGCATTTGGGGAGGTCCCCCGGCTTTGTCTTCTTCCTGCTTGGAATGGAATAGAGCACGTTCCATTTGCAAAGCGATTTCGGAAGTTTTCCAACTACAGTCTAATATAAAGTCTACACTACTGAGTGAGCTCTCGGGGTGGCCTCCACACCCGCAGCTCCACACTGCCACCCGCCCCGGGGCATCAGCTGCCCTGAAGTGTCACCCTCCTCCTAGGCCCTGCTGTAATGTATTCAGGTTGGGTGAGCACAGAGTCAGCACTGGGGACTGGAGGCATGTCTACCATCAGCAGGTGGACTCTGATGAACTCCAGCGTGAAAGAGAAGTTATTGTCATTGATAAAGAAGGTCTCACAATCGAGATTTCAGTCCCCAAATCTGCCCTGGCTTCCTGACTAGCTTTAGACAACTTGGTGTGTGTGTGTGTGTGTGTGTGTGTGACCCAATTTCCTCATGTGTGAAATGCATGGCAGGCTGTGGAATACTGTGTGTGTGTGTGTGTGTGTGTGTGTGTGAGACCCAGTTTCCTCACGTGTGAAATGCATGGGAGGCTGTGGAATATAGTGAGCAGTTCACGTGCTGTGACTCCTCATCCAGGCCTGTGCAGACATTACTAATCCTTCCGAGCACCTCTCCCAGGCCCAGAGGGGAAACACAGTCAGCCACAACCAATCGATCAGAGGTGGCACTGAGCAAAGACCTTTAATGGTTTCTAAGTTTTCTTCCAAACACAATAGTCTTTGAGTCTAAATCCACTACATTTGGATTCACTTTGAAGTTCTGGGGAAGAAATGGAAGGGACTGATGTTACAGGTGGTGTATTCATTCCAAGTTTGTGACTTTGGAAGAGAAAAGAGGAGAGGAAAAATGTAGGGAGGGAACATTTGGGCCTGGGGACAGTGTCAGCATGGAGAGCTGTGTCTCCTGGATCACTGCCCAGACCCACCCCAGAACAGCAGGGTGCTGGAGGGAAGCAGGATGTACTGACCAATCTGGGGAGAGCGTGCTGCAGGAGGCTCGCCAGCGTGACCAGAAAGGGTTTAGATGGAAACTGCAGAGGGAGGAAGGAAATAAGCCCAAACAAATCTATAAAACCAGGAAAAACGCAGCCAACATCAGAACCTCAGCTAGGGCGCTGGGCAGCAGAAGGGCTGGCTCCCGGTGACTCTGGCAAAAAGAGTGGGCTACGGAGATGTGCACGGAGTCGGCAGAAGAGTGCAGCCCCAGGCCGCAGGGACAGGCTGAGGCCAGCACAGGAGCAGGACTGTCAGTGCCTCTGCAGGGCATGGGGGCTGCCTTGCTGCTCCCGAGGTTGCTGGACTCAGCCCGGCTCCGGACTCTCAGGGCAGCAGAGGGGACGCTGTGGATGACAGCGTGGCCACCTTACCGCTTCCATGCAGGGGCACAGCACCTAGATTCCCATTCTATGAACACTGCACCATGGTCAAGGCTGTGCCGCAAGGGGACATCGAGTGGCAAAAAGGAAAGGGCCATATGTGGCAGAAGTGTCATCCCACAACCACAGTAAGTGAGCGGACTTATACTAGAATGGGGCATATGTCCATCTCAGAGAAAGAGAGGCAAACAGCCAGTCCAATTCTGCAGGCCCACCGGGCAGAGTGGAGAGGTGACACCAAGACTAGCCACCGGGTGTGGAAAGCCCGCCTGGTAGGCACGGTGGGGTCTGAGGGTGAAGACACGAACAGTCACCAGCAGCCCTCAGCACTACACTGAGTGGGGCATGGGAAGGGGTCGAGCACACATCCGTCTAGAGTCCAGCCAGGAAGTGCGGACCTGCAGGCAGGCACAGGGTGTCCACCGGCATGCTAGCGGGGCCGTCTTGCTGGAAGGAGCTGCATTTAAAGGTCTGGCTGCCCTTCATGGTGGAGTGGGGGCTGTGTCTGGGGGTGTCTGCGATGTCATTCATGCTCCGGAGGGCTCACAGGAGCTCTCCTCTTGGGGAAAGCAAACCTCCTGAATTAAGATGGGGCTCCTCCTTGTCTGGGTCTGGACCTTACTCCCAGGGCCAATCCCCGCTTCGTGGTCCTACACCGGGGTCACAGGGGTCTGCAGGCTGGGGCCCAGGGCTAGGCCGGGTGCTGCCACTAGTATCTCGCTTCCTCAAGAAGCAGCAGCAGAGCCAGGAGGAGACCTCAGTCCTGGTGATATTCACAGAGCTCTGGACCCAACTGCTTGGTGGTCAGCCCTCGGAGAACATTCTCTGAGTCAGTTGATAGATGCACTTCTGTGTTTTGGCCCGTTTGAGTTGGATTTTTATCACTCGTCACCACAAACAGATAGGTAACCATACTAATATTATTCCCAACGATGTGAAAGTGGCACTGAAATTCAACAAAGTCAAATGGAGCAAAATGCCCTGCACTATGTCCTGACAGTGTCAAGTGGCACGTTTAATTGCTGGGAACCTCAAATTACTTGAGGCAGTTGGAGAAGGTGGTTGTGCGTGTCCTGCAAGAGATAAGGTTGTGCAGGGGCCGGGATATCTGTCCACACCTACTTGATGGGTGTCACACCGGGTGTGTCCCGGTTTTTGTCCTCGGAACAGCACGTTGCCTGCCTCAGGGACTGCATCTTCTGGGAAGGATCAGGACTCTGAGTCTAAGGAACTCAGGATCACACTCAGACCCTCGGAGAGATCCTCCCAGCTGCTAGTGCGCATCCTGGGCCAGGAGACGGGCAGAGACCCCCTCTTCTGGGGGTTCCAAGGAGAGGCCTTGACTCTGCACGGGGTTTGGGTGTGGTACCTTCTTTCTTTTTTTCTCCTTAAGATGGGAACCATCAACAGACTCAGGGTTTGGAAGGAGGGGTTCAACATCTTCCTCAGGCACATTCTATCTTTCTTGGAAAATGAACACTAGGTTTATTTCTGCACTCTTCCACCCTGCCACTCTGTGATGCCCTGGAGCAGGTGCAAAATTCGTCCAGGAGTTGCTTCATCAGAGTTCAATAAGATCTAAATGATTTTTCAGTGGACTAGTGCTGTAATAGCTGGGTTCAGAAGAAGGTGACCCAGTGACACAGACCAGATCTGACCCTGGAGTGGAGGGTGGGTCTCCGAGCAGGAGCCGATTCTTTGTCAGTGAGGAGGGTGTTGGAAGTGGGCATGAGTGGACATGTCACCCGGTCTGCTGAGAGGGAAGGCTATGAGCTGAGCTGCTTGTAGCCACCTCTAGGGGAGGGTCCCACTGGCAGCCCGAAAGAGGCAGACAGAGGGGTAAGGTGACTGAGACCTACTGACTTCGTTGAATTGGCCAGTCCGACTGTTCAGGCGTTGACCAATAAAAGCCTTTTTTAGCCACTCTGAGTTAGCTTCTTCCCCAGATGTCCTGACCTCTTATTCCTGGGCAGAAGCACTGCCCGCCCCCACATCATCAGGCCGCCTGCAAGGAGGCGGCGTCGGCGGTGGGAGTTAAGCAAACAGGAAGGTAACATTTGTATAGTGAGACCATTTTCTCTGTGTTTGAAACCAGAGATTTAAAACAGGCCTCTGGGGGCATTTCCTGGTCTGAGCTTCTGAGCGATGCACCATGTGCTTACTGCTCATTTAAATGCACGTCTGCTCCTTAGAGTAAAAACCCCAGGGATGGTGGGTGCCAGTGAGGCCTCGGGGAGAGAATCCGGGTGGCTTTCACACCAGCATGGAAAGAGGGTCATTCAAGAAGTGGTATTTGGACAACAGGCATGCAGCCATTTGAGAAAAAAATGGTGACTCCATACTTTAATCATATATCTTAACAAAATCTCCATAAGCCAAGTATTTAATGTAAAAAAAAACAAAAACAAAAACATAAAAGCAAAAGAAAATAACCATTACTTTTTCACTTCAGAGGGAAGAGTGCCTTTATTAGCATAAACACAAAGCACAAAACCAAAAGGGAAAAACAGTGGTTGAAAATGACCACCAAAGAACCAAGTTTTCTCTATGTGGCCAAACCCACCATAAACAAATTCAAAATGCAAATGTCACACTGAGAAAAACTGTTTTAATTAATATTGCAAAGTACAAATATCTCTAATATGTAAAGGCTCCTAGAAATCAATTAAAGACCAATAGTCAAATGGAACACTGAGACGCGGTG